AGTTTGGCCAGGTTTGGATTGATGTGTGTGTGTGTGTGTGTGTGTGTGTGTGTGTGTGTGTGTGTGTGTGTTATTAATAAGTTTGAAACCATTCTGATCCCCAGCCTATGTTTGTATATGATCTGGGGTTTTGTTTCTTTCTCTTTTTTTTTTCCTGGAAGCCTGTAAGATCTTTATTTTTCACTGGAGGTAACAAATGGCCCTTTTTTCCCATTTGTTCAGTGTTCTGTATACTTACAACTGAAATATCACAATGTTGTATCTTGGCTTGAGTCTATTTTTATCCACTGTGTTGGTCAGTGCTTTCATCTAGAAACTCGTGTCCTTTAGTTATGAGGGAGTTTCTTATATTATTTTGTTGACAAAGTTTTCCCCACCCTTTGTTTGCTTTCTCTTTAGGGAACTCCAATTATATGGATATTGGACCTCCTGGATGGTCCTCTAATGTTTTTATCTTTTCTATTTCATTTTCCACGTCTTTATCTCTTTTGCTACTTTATGTGAGATTTCTTCACCTTTTTCTCCTGGATTCTGTATTTAAAAGTTCATTTTTGCTATTTTGTTTTAATTTCCAAGAGCTTTTTTTGTTGCTGTTCTCTGATTTTTCTTAATAGTTTGGTTCTTTTTGTTTTTTGTTCTTTTTTTGTAAGAGAATATTTATTTGATAAATCATAGAGTATGAAAAGTAATTCCTTAAAAAAATGGGTTTAGGAAACAAGTTATTGAGATAAAGGAACGGCCTTTAGAGCTTGGGAGTGAGGAAGCTAATGGTAATGTGCCTGGGACAGAGAGCACAGTGGTTCCTTTGTCCTAAGGGTTTTCAGGGTGGAGATTTTAGGGGAGGCCCCAGGGGGAAGCTCTCAATAGACTATTCAATAGTTTCTTATTCTTTTTGCATGCAAGTGACATGATGAAAATTATTATTGTCCATTGTTTTGTTTCTTCTCCCTCTTTGTTTCCAGAGGTTTTCTTGTTAATTGGTTGGTTGGTTTCAATCTCTGTCTCTCCTGTAAGAGACTTTCCTCAGATGTCTGGAGAGGGCGAGAGAGCGGCTGCCAGCAATCCCAGAGTGAAGGGGCAGGGAGCAGGTGAGGGTCTCAGCATTTCATATTTACACACTTAACCACTTGGTTTGGGGTTCAGTACCCCTGCCCTTTGCTGTGTGTTCCCTACTGTGTTCCGGGTCCAGAAACCCTGTTTTACCCTTTCCAGATGCTATACTTATATTCTTTAGTTGAGATGGAGAGTGGAAACCACCTGAAATCCGAGTGCAGAAAAGGATTTAGGAACCAACTTCTTTCTTTCTTTCTTTCTTTCTTTCTTTCTTTCTTTCTTTCTTTCTTTCTTTCTTTCTTCTGATGAGAGAGAAGCATTGATCGGCTGCCTCCCGCACGCCCCCAACTGGGGATCGAGCCTGTGCCCTTGACCAGAATCGAAACTGGGACCCTTCAGTCTGCAGTCTGACGCTCTATCCACAGAGCCAAATCAGCCAGGGCCCAACTGCTTCTTAAACACCTTCCAAACTGTCCTGGTTTTAGCCCTTCCCTCTTCATTCCCACCTTCATGATGCCTTTAAAGATTCTACAGTCTATGTTCAGCTAGTCCTTGGTTATCTACATTGCTGATTTACTAGGTCCGTTACTGCACACTCATGGACTTTTTAAAATGTATTTTTATTGATTTCAGAATGGAAGGGAGAGGGAGAGAGAGATAGAAACATCAATGATGAGAGAGAATCATTGAGGGACGGCCTCCTGCATGCCCCCTACTAGGGATCAAGCCTGAAACCTGGGCATGTGCCTTTGACCAGAATCAAACCCTGGACTCTTCAGTCCGCAAGCCAATGCTCTGTCCACTGAGCCAAACTGGCAAGGGCACATTCATGGACTTTCTGTTTTATCTCCTTTTTTGCTCTATAAGTTTATGCCCATTTTTTCTTTTAATGGAAGGTGGCTGGGTACATTTGTTCTCTCTGCCACTCTTCTCCCCATCCATCACGTCAGCTCATTAAGCTAAATGCTGAATTCAGGATCTCTCAAATACTGCACACGGTTCTCCTTCCAGCTCTCCTGTTTATGGAACCACCATTCTTCCTGTCTGTCTGCCTCCAAAAATAAGAATAATTTAATATTCCTTCTTTTGTAACAGATCCCTGCTTTCATGGATTTCTGGCATTTTTCCTCTTACAATTCAGTACATAGCAAAAATCCTACTTTGAATTCCTTTTTGAAGAAACAAAGATAATGAGATGCAATCATTTGAATCAAGGAACTTCCAGTGTAGTG